GCAAGTCACTCACTCACGTGAAAAGAGGGGTTTGAAACTGATATTTGAGGGAGAGGCACAAAAAACCCTGAGGAAAGAGTAAACCAAACACCCTGGGGATCAGTGAGGAAAAGGAAATGGAAGCAGGGCCCGGTGGCCAGCACATGCCCCTAGAGTAAGGTTAAGTCCTATGGCGCCATAGGACTCCTTACGTACTCTGTAGAGTGTGGCTAACACCCAAGTGCTGTCTGCTATGACATACCCAACATCTGCCCAATATCACGGAGTTGGGAAGTGGCAGTCAAACTCAAACCCAGGTTTGTCCTGTCTCCTTGAGCCACTCAGCTTTACTGAGTACCCAGACTGGCAAAGAAGGCCTCATGGCTACAGTGTTACATACTTTGTAAAGAACTAAAGAGAACAGTTAGAAGTTTCCCAACACAAAGAAATGGCATATGCTTAAAGAGACAGAAATGTGAGTTCCCTTGATTTGATCATTATACACTGCATCCATGTACTGAATTAGCATCCGGTGCCCTGTGAATTTGTACAATTACTATATGTCAAAAAAACCTAGCTAGGGAAAAGCTGACCTTGTAGAAGAGATAAGGGTGGAAAACAGAATATGGATAAGTGTTCTTATTAAAAAGGGCAGGAGTGCTGACAGAAGAAAGGTGTGAACTTGGATGTCAGGGAGGGGGTAAGTCTGCTTGGGAATCCACGGCTTTGGGGACAGAAGTTGGGCGGTGAGTCACTGGCAGAGAGCTAACCACAGGCTGTCTGGCCAATGGGACACCACAGGGAAGATGTGACCTTCATAATGTGACTCTCAAAGCCCATCCCACAGAGGCAAGGCAGTGAGAATGGATTCTTCCACTGTCTCTGGAAAATAAAAATCTTATTCAGTGAAAAACAAAACATCAGCTTATTTCTTGATTTGCCCAGTAGACAACGTGATCTCCCAAAAGAAACTCCCATCTTGGGTTGAATTCAACTAGTTGAAAAAGGAACTAGTTTTGAAGTGGAAAGGAAAGGAACCTCAGGGAAACCAATCACTTCCCACGAGCCAGAGAAATAAAACATAACCTCGGAGATTAAGATGATAAATTTAAATAAAGCAGAGTAAATTTAGAGGAAATAATTTAAAGAGAAGATAGCTCAAGAAGACTGAAAAGTTTACAGCAGAAAAACTGTGATGACATAACTTAGTAGGCACAACTAGAGAGGATGAAAGAAAATGGACATGCTCGCATCTGTATCAGCATTTTATCAGTCAGAAATGTCATTTGGACTGGACAACTCAGGTCAGAGATGGATTTTCAAGACACAAGCACTATGAAAGAACTCCAGGAGACAAAGATTTATGATGACCCACTCCCTGTCTGCACTGAACACGAAGCTATGTAGCTCAGTACATAAAACAGAGGTGACGCACAAAATATCATCCTGGTTGGATCAGCTTGTGGAGAGATTCTATAAAGGGACATTCCATAAAGCAGTTCTCTTATGTTGAGCTTGATTTTTTAAAAAAAGATTATAATTATCACAAGGGACAAGATCACTAAGTGGATCCCATGTTTGCATATGCTTTGAAGTATTTCGCATGCATTTAATATTTACAACCCCAAGAAATAGGCATTACCAGTAGCTGCATCTTATTTTGATCTGAGGAAAGAAAATTAACTAACTTGTCTGATAGAAGATGATGTCTGCAGTCACTGAGCTGTCCTGTGTGTTACCTTCCCCAGTGGCTGGTTCTCTTTGTATGACATTCATGAATCAGGAGATCTTGCTGGAAGGAATTCCATTTGAAGTGGTTTATATGTCTGCTACTGCATCATATAAATCCTGCTTTACCCATGGGAAGACGCATATCCTGTTAGAAGAGAGGTCCTACTTCCCAGGTTTGTTTCCATTCTCGACTCACTCGACTTTGATGTCAAGCTTTTATGGTATTATTGTGCCAGGACACCTGAACTGAGGCACAGTGGGGGTTTCCCAGAGTGCAGTAGGAAGATCTGGCATCTAGGCCTGCTGTAGGATTTGACTCATGGGTCATTTGCCACCGGAGAGGCAGTTAACAGCAAGCTTAAAATCAAGACTTTTCAGGCAGACAGAGCTGGGTTCAAACTGCAGCTCTGTGTCTGACATGGGGAATGACAAATTAATCCCAGTGACCTAACCTGGCTGTGTGGACTGACCTGTGTCCCCTCTGCCCTAGATGCTGCAGCCCTAGTCCTGTGTGACTACATTTGAAGACAGGGCCTTAGGAGATAATTAAGGTGAATGAGGTCAGCAGGGTGGGAGCCTACTCCAGCAGGACTGGGATTAGAAGAGAAAGGGGCCACAGGAGAACACAGTAAGAAGGTGGCCTTCCAAGACAGGAAGAGAGCCTCATGAGAAACTGTCCTTATAGCATCTTGATCTTGGACTGCCAGCCTCTAGAACTGTGGGGAAATAAATCTTGTTAAGCCACCTAGTTTGTAGAACCATGCTATGGTAGCCTGGCCTGACCAATACATCATGCAAGCCTGCTCTCCTATGAGGTGGGTGTAATGTCGGACCTGCTTAAAGTCCCACCTCTGTGTTGTTCTAAGAGAAACCATGCAAAAGCTGATCGTGGAGCCTGGCACCCAGTACAGGTTTGATATTGTCAGGTATTGTCATCGATGCTGAAGTGTGGCTTTCTCCCTAGGATCCTACACGTGACACTCTTACCCCCAACATGGTGGGGATGAGACCGCAATGTGATTCACACTTCCCAAAACTTCCCTGACAACAAAGAAGAATGTGCACCTGCCTGGGGGCAGGAGCAGCAAGCAGGGTCTGCTACAATGATTTTTGAAGTCTTATATTTTATCTTACAATCATGTATAGAGGGCTGGGTGTGGTGGCCCATGACTCTAGCTACTTGGGAGGCTGAGGCAGGAGGATCACAAGTTCTAGGCTAGCCTGGGTAATATAGTGACAGTCTGTCTGGAAATAAGAAATAAAGGGCTAGGGGTGTAGCTCAGTGGTAGACAGGCTCTGGGTTTCATCACCTGACCAAAACCAAAACAGAAACTACATACAGATTTTTCATTCTAATCCAGAATACATAGTACGGTCTAACACATAATACACAATTCATAAAGTGTTTCTAATTATCTGGGTAGAAATATAAGGATCTAGATAGACAACTTGGTCTTCTGGGCACTAGTCACACAACTACTGTACTTTGAGATTACCTCTGCAAGTCACAAAGAATGGTTCTGATGGAAGGATTTGGCAGTATTTTTTAAAATCACCATTATAATTAATCAAACTGAGGTGAGGTATAAAGCGAGCTTCATCTCACTCATTAAACCACATCAGGGAGCTCCTACCATGGGGCAGGCACGGTCAGCAGGGGTCTCACAACAGCTCCACACCCTGCTTTTTGATGCTTACTCCTGGGTAGAAAGGTCACTGGAGTGCAGACAGTGCCCTGTGACAGCCGAGAGGGAGAAGGAGAGTAGGCTGGAGAGAGTGGGTAGGCACCCAGCCGTGTTCAGAGCACCAAGAGATTCCTGGGAAGTAGGGTCTCCCAGCAAGTGCTATGGAAGCAGCCTTCAGAAGTGGTCCTGTTGGTTGTGAAGGATTTACAGCTTGGTGAAATGTCACCTTTGTCTATTTCTGCAAGTTTGGATAAGCCCAGGTATGCATTTTTGTACCGGGGGCTGACAGAGTGATGTCTGATAACCATGGTGTTTGTAACTGGCGGGGCTTTTTAGATATACAGTGTGAGAGGTGGGAATAGCAGGTCTGAAGGCCAAGAGAGATGGCTCTTCTTTCTTTCCAGGTGGTGATGAGAGTACACCTTTGCCGGGAAGTCAGTTCACAGGTGAGAACTGCCTTACAAACCAGGGAAGCCCTTTCCATTTTCTGCCAGTCCTTCAGGCCCTCCCAGGAGGTGAATGCGGTGTTTTGTGTGGAAGCGAGAGGATGGGGAGGCTGAACTGGGAGTGTGCTTGTTAAGCGTGGCTTGAGCTGCCATAGGAATGCAGAGACGGGTGGGCTTACCCTGAAACCTATTCTTGTCCTGGTTCCTGTCCCGCGTGACTCCTAAATGCTTCCTCTCCCCTGGTCACTCCTTCCTCTCCCTGCGGGCCTCAGCACAGCAAACAGGCAGGTGGGGGAAAGGGTGTAAGATTATTGTGGGGAGAGGGAGGAATTTTCCATTAATCAGAGCAACATTTTCCTGCCTGGTGTATCCCTCGCCAGCCAGTTCACCAAGTGCCTTCACACCTGGGATTTTTTTGGATCCCGGAGTGCCGGTTAGGACCCCGAAGTTCCTATTCCAGCCTTTCACACTATTCACATGTGCAAGCAGGCCACTTTTCAGACAAGTACATGTCCACTGCACTGGTTTCTACACCTTTACTACGATCATGCTGCCCTCGTTCCCAACCCCCATGAACGCTGCCCTCTCTGCCCCGGTTCGTCCCAGTTTCGCTAGTCCCTACCACTTTTGCGAAACTTCCAATACTGTACCCAGGAGCGCGCGCAGGGCCGCTCACGCGGTCCCTCCTCCCCCAGAACCCCGGGCAGCCGCAAACTCTGGTTTCCTGGGGCTTCTCGCCAGGCGCACAGTAGGGTTTCACGTGTTAGTGTTTTGAGTGTGGTCTGTAAACCTTATTTTACTTGTCCTGCGTAAAATGGGGCGGGAGAACCTTGCTGTCCGCAGGAATCCGTTCGGGATCTTTTCTGAAGTTAGGGATTGGTGTGTACAAAGTCTCAGTCTCACACACAGGAGGCGACTCAGTTCCAGGACCTGAGAGACCGACCCGCACCGATTGCCCGCGCTGCAGGAAGCACCTGCGCCCCACAGCACCGCGTCTTCCAGTCCCCCGCCCGCGCCCCCTCCGGCAGCTCCGCCGCCCAGCCCGGCCGCCCCCCTCTCTCCTCCCTCCTCGTCCTCCTCTCCGGCCCTAGATCGCCCAGGTCTCCCCTCCCCGCCTCGCGCAGCACCCCGCGCGGGCGGCCGGCCCGGCTGCTCTTACCCCGGCCTCGGTCCATGGCGCCACCGGGCTCCCTGGGCGCCG